GTGGTCTACGTATACTTGGATTTCAATAATCAATAATTGAAGTCTGAATTGAAGGGCAGCAATGAGCTTAGCTTAGCTATTTATATGGTAAACATTTTAGAAGTTCAACAGACGCATCCTAGTAGCCTCATTCATCAGTCGGTAATTTAAACGTGAATAATAGGATATAGAGCGTTTAAGCGTTTTCACTGAGTATGAGGTCGTCTAAACACAGAACATTACAGCAGTTTCCATGTGTTCCCTGTAACTGTAATTGAATGTTTACTCAGGAAAATTCCTCATAATATTCTGCGTAAACAGAATTAAATGCTGCTTACATGTGTAATTTCTCTTTCACTTGCTCACGCTCTCTTTTTCTCCCTCTCTCTCTCTCTCACACACACACACACACACAACCATGCACTCTCCTCCATACACATATGCAGGAAGGAGACATGCAGGTATGATTAATAGAACCTTTTATTGGTAGTTCATTACAAATGTTTTCTATAAGGATGATTCACCTAATTATATAGATGACTGTTTGCTGGTAACCTTTATATTAAGGGCTTCCATTGCAGTTAAGAGTGTGTGTCTGTCTGTGTGTGTGTGCCAGGATAACCAACAGTAGGAAGTGTCAGTCGTTGAAAAATGGGCGCCACCTCTCCTCACTCTCTCCTCCCATTGATTAAATCTCAGCCCTTTGCCATTTGTCGCTAGATCTGTCTCCACAAAACAAATCTGGAGACAGTCCGGTCCACTCCTATTTCGTTCCCAGACTCTGTGAAATAAGCATACAAACCAAGATGGGAGGTCAAAATATATTCTTGGTGAACAGTATTTTTCTTGACGTATGAAAGGTCGTTAAAGCAGCCAGGGTGCAGTCCATAAGTCCTGTTTGGTCCTTTCTATTTCTAATAATGAGAATTTCTTTACCACCATTCCAAGTAAAAAAAAAAATGACTCAGCTTGTATCATTAGTTTTGAAAATCTATTAATCGATAAGAATTAAACTGCTGCAGTGAAACAGTATCAGAGTGATGGGCATGCAGATACAGAAGTCAGATGTATAAGTGAGGCTTTAAATACATTTATACTATTCATTTATTTTTACTGATTAATGCTCATCAGCAGTTTTTCCCAATCAGTATTTTAGATTCCAAGAACCCCACGGTACAAACAAAAAAGTCACTTAACGTATATGTATTGAATTGATATGTATGTATATGAGGGAAATTATATTTAAACCTTTATTCATTTTTGAAACATATACTAATGCTTTGTCTAAAGTTGTCATGGAAAAAACGATACTTCAGTTCTTAGCACTGACAGCCGTTCTTTTATGTTTCATAATTAGTTCAAACAGAAAGCCTTCACGTCTGCTGATGTCTCCTCCTCCTAAAAATATCCAAGCTAACAGTGTGAGACAGTGGTGAGGCCATTAACTGATGTTTATTACAGCTGTCTTTCAGAGCTACACTCTTGTGGTCATTTTATTGTCAAACTCCTTGTCAAGGAGATTTCTCTCATCGACCTTTATCCATGACTAAGACAGTGACTCACCGTTGACGCTCACCTCCCTGTTAAGTGCAACGGCATATGATGTCAAAGCTCTCACAAGTGCATGAAGGGAGACGAGGTCGAAATATAAGATGTAAAAATAAATCCCTGCATGTCATCAATTAATGAAGGGATAAGTACATGACTAGACCGAACTATGGAATTAAATTTGTAGCAATCTTTTCTTTTTTATTTGAAAGTGAATGTTTTTCTATATGTGGCCTTGTATTGTACTGGCGAACTTCCCAGGTTGTGTACCCCACCCTCTTCTATTGGCAGCTAGGTGTTGAACAATTTTGTGAAGAATTGTTCTCACATTCTCTTGGCCCAAGACGAGATGGACATGTCTACAAATAAGCAAAAATCAGATGTCATTCGCCAAAGACGAAAAAGACCATCCAGACTGTCATTGATGAAAGGTGCAAAATCCAGCATCTGTGATGTTATCAGTAGCCTGGCATGGGGGAGCGACATATGTGAATGTGCCATTTCTATAAAGGCTTCTGTTGAGATGGATTTTCATATCAAGATGTCCTCTTGTCCCAGAAT